TGTGGATCCCCATATGTTTTGGCCTTCAACTCCAAGAAATCCTAACAGCTGGTAAACTGGCTGGAATTTCTGAGAGTTGTAGGCCAGAACACCCGGGGACCCACAGGTTGAGAACTACTGAGATAAGGGATACTCAGTCTATATTTTCATTTGCTTTGAATGCGATCTTTCTGCTTCTTGGCAGGGGGTTGGACTGGATGGCCCACGAGGTCTCTTACAACTCCATGATTCTGTGATTCTATGATTTTTGTAAACCACTTTAAGGTCTGGGTGGGAAAGCAAGAGACGGACAGATAGAAGGATTCCCTGCTTACATCAGTTAGTATGTTGTTGTTGTTCATTCGTTCAGTCGTCTCCGACTCTTCGTGACCTCATGGACCAGCTCACGCCAGAGCTCCCTGTCGGCCGTCACCACCCCCAGCTCCTTCAAGTTAATCAGTTAGTATAGGGCTTCTGATATCTCTTTTGAAATAGCTTCTCCCATTTTGTTGACTTTAGCCCTAATCTCCTAGTTTGTTTCATAGAGAACCTCTTTCATCCATAGAAGTTACCTAGATATTCACTAGAATGACATTGGCCTTTTCAGTTGCAGAATCACACTGTTGGCTCGTGGTTGACTAAGATTCTTTTAATAGAATCTTAGAGTTGGGCGGGACCTCTAAAGGCCATCGAGTTGAACCCCCTTCATTCGGTCTTCATGCAGAGAAAGCACAATCAGAGCACTCCCGACAGATGGCCATCCAGCCTTAATAATATTAATAATAATAGAGTCAGAAGGGACCTCTAAAGACCATCTAGTCCAAGGAACTTCTGCCTTCATGCAACAAAAGCACAACCAAAATTCCCTCAACAGATGGCCACCCAGACTCAACAACAACAACAGAGTTGGAAGAGACCACATGGGCCATCTAGTGCAACCTCCTTCTGCCTTCATGCAACAAAAGCACAATCAAGGCACCCCTGACAGATAGCCATCCAGCCTCAACAACAAGAACAAGAACAACAACAACAGAGTTGGAAGAGACCACATGGGCCATCTAGTCCATCCCCTTTCTGCCTTCATGCAGCCTTCATGCAGCAAAAGCACAAGTAAAGCACCTCTTGACCCTGACGTTGCCTTTGCCTCTACTACCTCCTCCTCTGCTGTACCCACAGCGTACTCCTCTTAGGAGTAGGGTAGGAGAAAGAAAAAAAGGCTCGATTCCTCTTGGTGTCCTGGGCATTAATCTACTGTTATGAATCATAATGTAAATATCTGATGTGCAGGATGTATTTTCATTCACTTGACACAAATATTCGATACGCCCAAATTTGAATACTGGTGGGGTTGGTGGGGGGAACTTATTTTGTCATTTGGGAGTTGTAGTTGTTGGGATTTATAGTTCACCTACAATCAAAGAGCATTCTGAACTCCGCCAATGATCTGTTTCCCTACAGAAGTAATTGTACATTTTTGTCGTATGTGGGCCATTGCAGGTGGATTCCCATTAAATATAGAGATGCACATTTGGTTGTACATCTGACATTTTGGCTTATTTAAGCAACACTGTCATTTAACTTAAAGGTTACATTGCAGAGTTAATGCATAACTCTGAAGGGCAGGATTTGTGCTATGCAGCTGCAGGGTAGGATTTAAGCCATTGTGATAAACTATGAAATTATAGACTTCCAGAGAGTGATATTTTCGGCTGCCCTGGAGATGAGGATGCAGAACAGTGGCTTCAAACTACAGGAAAGGAAATTCCATCTGAACATTAGGAAGAACTTCCTAACTGTGAGAATTGTTCAGCAGTGGAATTCTCTGCCCCGGAGTGTGATGGTAGCACCTTCTTTGGAGGCTTTTAAGCAGAGGCTGGATGGCCATCAGTTGGTGATGCTTTGAATGCGATTTCCCTGCTTCTTGGCAGAATGGGGTTGGACTGGATGGCCCATGAGGTCTCTTCCAACTCAAGGATTTGATGATTCTATGATATCTGAGGTCACAAAGAGTCAGAAGTGAATGAACGAATAAACAGCTATGATATCCGAAATTCATCTTGGCCTCTACTATTCTTCTCTCCAATGAGCAGTCATAGAATCATAGAATCAAAGAGTTGGAAGAGACCTCATGGGCCATCCAATCCAACCCCCTGCCAAGAAGCAGGAATATTGCAATCAAATCACCCCTGACAGATGGCCATCCAGCCTCTGTTTAAAAGTTGAGCTCTTACTGGGTTTTTTTTTCCGTTGGGGGGGGGAGAACCAAAGTAAAACTTGAGATACTGGTGCTTAATAATTGATAACAAGTCTGGTTTTGTGTACAGCTTCACTAAGTTTCTTTTCCCTCACTCCTTTGTATTTGCTTGTAATTGCTCACAAGAGAGCTTGCTTTGAATGATTTACTTGGGAGCAAATCTATTTTTTTATTTTTCTTCTTTTGATTTCTTAAATCGCAAGAGTGGAGGGCAGAGAACTAATAGGCAGAAATTTCGCTGAGTTAACCGCTGCATTCCCCCCTTCTTTCAATGAAAAGTTCTGAGTGTAGATCTAATGAGGGAGGGGGGAAAGGCTGTGGCATTTGGCTCAAGCAACGGTACCCATTTGATGTTTCCAGTGAAATCTAGGTTGCAGGTCAGCTTTGTGCAGGAGAGTCCTCAGGCATAGAGCTATAGATTTGCCTTTTAAAAAGGACAAAATTATAACTTGGGAAAAGGAAAAACCCTTCAATCCTTAACTTCCCACAGATTTTTAGCAGAAGCTATTTGCCTGATGGGCAGCAACTGAACTGATTATATGTTTTATGTGAACTGTGTATATTTGGAGGTGAGCAGGGGCTGGCTGCTTCTTCCTGTCCATCCATGAAATTAATTTATTTGTGGATTTTTTAATTGGAGCAGAGAAAATATGGCAAAAATGTTTATGTTGACACCTTTTATGCTGGTTCCTTTTAGCAGCTTTAAGGGCAGGATGGTACACCTCTTGTTTTTGCCTCTTGTTTTTCTGTGTGTCATTTTGCAAGATGTGTTTTCTGACATCCTTTCCAATATTTCAGTTAATGATTTCAAATTATAATTCTAAAACTTATAGAGAATTGGCAAAATATCTGTGTTTACATTCATACATGAATTCCAAAAATCCAAGATGAATGTGTGAACTTCTACTTGTATTTGTCTGCCTACTGTTTCAGCCCACACACCTCCTTACTTGTTTTTTTTCTTTTCAGTAGTACATCAGCTAAGGCTCCCTATGGCATTCAGCTTTCAATTTCAGAGAGGTCTCTTGATTTTCACATGTTCACAAAAGTTACAATTGTCAACATGAACATGCTGGTCTTGACATTCACCAGAGTTTGCTCTCTCTTTCTCTTTGTGTCTCTCTCCGCCTGGGTGCACCATATTATTAACTCTGCCAAGTCTAAAAGAGTTGCATTCATCTGTGGGAAGAATTTGCTAGACCCTGAGACATTTGTTGTAATTTCTGTACATCCTGAAGACCGAAACGGTTTGTTTTCAATACCAGTCAGAAAGGCAATTGCCTCATATTTGGAACATGGGAGTAGAACAGCCATGAGTCTTCTATGTGCAATCTGCAGTTTTGTTTTACAGGAGTGGGAAAATTGGGAATTGTGCTCATGCAGTTCTACAAATTCTGCATGCCAATGTAACTCATTTTATTATAATGTTCCAATGAGATGAATGAGCTATAGCCTTAAAGTTGAACTGACATTCATGTGTGGAGCAATTTAGGCTAATAATCTTGAGAATTGTCCAAGTGCTTGAGGAAAAATGGGGGACCCACCAAAAACTCATTATTTGCAGGTTTCTTGGAAAGTGATGAGGCACTTAGTGGTTTATAGCTAATGAAGGGTTTGAATCAGTGGAAAACTTCTGCTCATGCAAGTCGGGGTCTCCAGATTTCACTGGCTTCACTTACCAACTGGAGTTCCCTGGGTTATATTCTGTGCTGTTCTGGTGACACCCTCAAACAGAAGGGATTTTTTAGGTGTGCACGCAGCTAAAGTACATAATGAACATGTGGGAATCTGGGGGAAATGATATGCTGTGCCCCATTTTTCATAATAGAAGTTCCTTCTGCTAGCATTTAGTACAGTGGTTCACAACCTTCCTCATGTTGCAACCCCTTAATAAAGCTCTTCATGTTGTGGTGACCCCCAACCATACAATTATTTTGGTTGCTACTTCATAACTAAAATTTTGCTACTGTTATGAATCGTAATATAAACATCTGATATGCAGGATGAATTTTCATTCACTGGACCAAATTTGGCACAAATATTCAATTTGCCCAAATTTGAATACTGATGGGGTTGGTGGGGGGAACTGATTTTGTCATTTGGGAGTTGTAGTTGTTGGGATTTATAGTTCACCTACAATCAAAGAGCATTCTGAACTCCACCAATGATTGTATTGAACCAAACTTGGCTCACAGAACTCCTGTGACCAAGAGAAAATACTGGAAGGGTTTGGTGGGCATTGACCTTGAGTTTTGGAGTTGTAGTTCACCTACATCCAGAGAGCACTGTGGACTCAAACAATGATGGATCTGGACCAAACTTGGCACGAATACTCAATATGGCCAAATGTGAACACTGGTGAAGTTTGGGGAAAAAAGACCTTGACATTTGGGAGTTGTAGTTACTGGTATTTATAGTTCACAACCAGAGAGCATTCTGAACCCCACCAATGATAGAATTGGGTCAAAATTCCCACATAAAACCCCCATGACCAACAGAAAATACTGTGTTTTCTGATGGTCTTCAGTGACTCTCACGACCTTCAGGTTGGGAAATGCTGATTTACTATTTTTAGTACAACCTACTGTGGATTTTAATGGTTTCTACGACTGGTAAATAATCATTCAGTTGTCCTTTTGGATTTTGTGCATGAAAAAAAAAATTTAAATTAAGATTATTTTCTTCAGGATAGTTTGATCCTTTTATAAATATGATTTAACTACTTAATTAAAAGTACCCCCCCCCTTTTTTTTTCTTTATTGTACAGGTGAATGTCTACGTCTTGGGCAAAACGTTTCTTCTGCTGGCCAGAGAGCTCTGCATAAATGCTCCAGCTATAGGTACTTTTTAATAAGAGTTGGCTTTCGGTACGTGGGTATACTTGCGCCATGATTTTCACAGCATCTTTTCAACATTAATACATTTACATAATACAAGTTAGCATTTGAAAGGCATTTCGAAATTAACTGTAGAGGCACCCAGAGATGAAGACAGCTAATTAAGACACAGAGGGAATTCATACAGAATTTCTTTTAAAAAACATGTTATGTGAGAAATATAAAGATCCCTCTTCAAATTACTGTTGACTTTTATATTAGGTTTGAATAAATGAATGTGTTGCCTCAAAGGATAAAATTGTTGCATAGAAATTGGATAGCACTGGAACAAATAATATTCTGAAACAACTCAAGAGTTTAAGTCTGAGTTGGATCAAGGCTTTAATCATAGATAATTTTAAGTGCAATTGATTTCAGGGCATATTGGCTCTGCTGGGAAAAGCATAATGAGCAAATCGAGCTCAACCCTATCAATATATACTTCATACTCTTTATCTATCATAAGGATTAGTTTTTTGTCCCTTGGTGAATGCTGCAGAGCTGTAGTAAGTGAGCCACCTGCACTAAAAGCCTTGGGCAGCACTCTTGGTTTGAATCTCCTGATCTATGACCTGAAGTTTAGTCCATAGCCTATCTACTTGGAACTAGGTAAACACTTTCCAATTGGAAGACATACAACTACATTAAAGAGATGTGTTTACTCTCAGCAAAAGGTCAGCGTTTTTACAGTCTTTGTTGCTAAGGGCAGCGCTTCACCAATAACCTTGGGAAAAGCAACGTAAACCTTGACAATGTCAATTATATTTCACTTGTAGAGCAACTTGTTGATAGGACCTGTATCACTGGTAGTGTACACTAGGGGCAGAAGAGGGTCAAGGCAAAGATGAACTTCCATTGTGAAAATATCTTTCAATGCTGTCATTATCGGTCATGGTACTAATGCTTCTAAAGGTGATATCACCTCTGATACGCCATTAAAGGCAATAGCACTGTCTTATGCCTGTCTGTTGCAATATATGTATTGTGGCAAATATCATACTATGACTGAATATTGTCTTGTTATTTTGATATGTCCAAATGGGCTGCTATTGGTAAAAAACATTCAGTCTTTAAATAATGAGCAAATTTTATACACATTTGTTTTACAGCAGTGGTTGAAGTCCAAAATCTCTGGGTGTTTTGGACTTCAACTCCCAAAAAATCCCAGCCAGCTTACAAGCTGTTAGGGACTGTGGGAACATTTTTTTTTTTTTTTTTGTAATTAGGTTGCAGTTGTTTATTGTTTGCGCTTTTGGTTTTATGTAATTGTTGTCTGGGCTTGGCGTCATGTCCCCATTGGGGAGATGGTGGCGGGGTATAAATAAAGATTATTATTATTATAAGTCCAAAACACCTGGAGGCCCAAAGTTTGGGAATCACAGTTTTACAGGCTCTTTCATCAACATTGATCAAGGCACTTAAGCATCTAAAACATGGCCGATGATTGATTTCTGACATTTGCATAATAAATACTGTAATTATTACCCATCTGGGGAGGTCATAGCACAGATGAAATTTGAACCTGGGATCTTTTGGCTGGCACTGCCACTTATGCCAGTTATTTCCAAATGCTAGCCTGTTTTGCATGTTGGAATCCATGATTGCTTTAATGCTATTATGTCCCAAACTTATTTGTGATAGACTTCAGAGATTGGCTAATGCTGCTCCAGTATAGTTAACTTTTATGGGATATTGTTGTAAGACTCTACTTTAAAAATGGTTGAGACCAGGTGGGACTATTGCATTAATGATATAATATTGGTGTCAGGCATCTCAAATCCTCTCTTTTGTGATGATTTTGCAACCTGGCTTTGAATGAATTGGTAAAATGGGGCATGGGATTTAAAGATCTATTTTGGTCACTGTATTTTTCATTCAAAATGCTGCATCCCCATTTGTTTGCTCCTTCCAGTTACAAAACTGTGTCATGGAGGAACATTTGGGAGGGCGGGGAATATAAATTCACTTTCCTTCAGGGTCAAGGAAGCGACTATATGTTTGGCTGCCGGTATACTTCTGGTTTATCTTTACTTCATCTGTTAGCCAATTAACTGCATCTTGCTCAAGAATAAGAACAATCAGTTGAAATTAGACATTCCTTGAATCATTAGAAACTGGGAAGTGTGTTATACTTATCTCCCTGCCTCCTAGCATGGTTATTTATGAGTGAAGAGAGAGGGATAATAATTGCACCTCACTGCTCCCAGAGGTTTAAAATGTCTTGAGGCACATACTGTTATTTATGACACTTTACATGCCAGTCAATTCATTGATTAACAGTCCTGAGGGGAGTTTTGTAATATTTAGATAGATACCAAACCGGTTTGGACAGTTTTTTTCTGGCAACTAGCATTTTCAAATGTACTCGCTTTCTACTTGCATTAATGGCACGATCATATACTTGTTTACTCAAATGCATATTTTACAGTGTTGAAAGTAGCAGACTGTAGTAGTGACATTAGGCTGAATAGCAGCCTATCGTTACCTTTTGCTTCATAATTTGAAAATAAGATGTGTTTGAATTGTGATAGAAGTTTTGTGAAGTGCATATGATCTTGGAACTGAGTGGTGAAACACACTACACTAATAGAAACAATGGCCTGCTTGCAGTTATTACCCATTTTGCAGTAACAGCTCCGATGAATTGAGATGTGAAAGAAAATATTAGTGAAATAGCTTCTCTTGGGAGAAGAAAATGTAAGAATTTGAATAGCACAGAACTCCTGAAGTTATATACTAGTGAAAGGTTCTGTGTATTGTATTCTGTTAGGTTGCCATGTCAAGGAAAATTGATCTTCTAGAACAGGTATGGGCAAACTTTGGTCCTCCAGGTGTTTTGGACTTCATTCCTAACAGCCTCAGGCTCTTTCCTTAAGCAGCTGTGGGGGGAAAGGAAGGGGCCTGAGGCTGTTAGGAATTGTGGAAGTTGAAGTTTGCCCATGGCTGTGTTACTATGCCCCTTATTCAGTGAACACAAGACGAGAACAGCTGACAAAAACTGTCCAGCTAACTCTAATACCGTTGTAAATAAAACACAAGGGGTTTTGATTTTTTTGTAGGATAATCCTTGCCCAGTGGTTTGGAGGTTTTGTTATTACCCATATCCAAATAACTAAAAGCATATACATCACCCTGTCTGCAAACACAAATGCAAAAACAAGTGATAAACGTATTGGTAATCAACAACAGGTGGCACAGTGGGTTAAACTGCTGAGCTGCTGAAGGTTGGCAGTTCAAATCCAGGGAGTGAGGTGAGCTCCCACTGTTAGGCCCAGCTTTTGCCAACCTAGCAGTTCAAAAACATGCAAATGTGAGTAGATCAAAAGGTACCGCTTCTGCGGGAAGGTAACGGCACTCCATGCAGTCATGCAGTCCACATGACCTTAGAGGTGTCTATGGACAACGCCGGCTCTTTGTCTTTGAAATTGAGATGAGCACCAACTCCCAGAGTCGGACATGACTAGACTTAGTGTCAGGGGAAACCTTTAGCTTTACTAATCAACAACAGACAAGTATTTAGGACAAGTAAAAATGTTTTATATTCAACAGATTCTCAAACCGCTCTACTTTAGAACATTCTGTTTGAGTTCAGCTGCAGTCTGTCAGTTAGTCATCTATATACAAAATAAATGCACACCATGTGCAGTTTTTAAAATGTTCTCTTCTGCTGCATACTGCAGTTTAATAATTAAGTCAAATAGCTTATGAATAAATAAAATAAGATTAAATTCAAGAGCATTCCTTCACTTAGTTTGATAGTCAGGTGGTCAAAGTAAGTAGGTGGGTAAGTAGCGTCACATTCCATACTGCGCTGGAATCTTTGAAGTCAAATCAAAGCATCCCAAATGTGTGGAGCCAGTCAGTCCTAGACTATAACAACCAACCTAAGTGAAATGCATCATGCATAGAAAATGAGTTCTGGTATCTGTCCGCCTTGTACACCTGTCCCATTGGTGCTGTCTGAAGAACACTGGAACTGGAAGGTCACTTTTCCACATTGTACTTCAGTCATCCCCTCCTGTCCAAAATAACTGAGTTCGTTGCCATCCAGAATGGCACTTACATTGTAAAAGGTGTCTTGCTCCACCTGCACTGGATGCTCAAACCATACCGAGAAAGTGTTACTAGATCCATCAGAGGTAAACTTTGTCAGGTTCTGAGCCAGGACAGCTCCTAGCCGCTTCAGTTCGATTTTGACACTGTACTCGGCTTTTCCGCAGCTCGACCCATACAATCCCAGTCCGGCGATAAATATCCTTTTATCTACAGCAAACTGGATGCTGTCGCAACGGCCTCGGTATCTCCATTGATTGCTACGATATGCAGAGGATTGGAACCGGTGGCACCTTTGCGGGACAAGTCCTTTCCTCTTTGTCAGCGGGAATTCTAACTTAGGCTTGTTGGCAGCGGTGTACCATAAGAAAATGTTGTGCCGTTCCTCAAGGGTTAGGATGTCGGATTGTGCGGCTCCGTCGGCAAACTCTTCCAAAGTCATGGTCGGAATCCGCACCAAGTATAAAGCTTTGCCCAATACATTCCGCTTGTTCCTCGGCGTAATTGGCAGCCCTTGTCTCTTACATTCAGCCTCGGCCCAGTTCAGGACCGCCTCGAACACAACAACCTCCTTCGTGTTCAGTGCTTCCCGTGTCACAATGATCTCTAGCGTCTGTTGATCTATCTCGCAGAAGCCCTCCGATTTGAGTGCCATTTCAGCTTGGGCATCAATGACTTCCCAGCAGCGCTGCGTCAGCTCTGGCTCCTCAAAGAGTCTGCTCTGAGACAGGAGGACACAGGCATTCTTGGCCTCTAAACTCGTCTCCAGAAAATTGACGCACGCTTTTGCTAAGGCTGGGACGATATATTTCTTGGCTGCATACAGAGTCGCAAGCACTGTGTCTGCTTCCAGGTCAATTTCATCACTGTACATGTACCTAGCAAAAGTAGTAGAAAAAAAATAGCCATTT